GACACAATGTTTTAGAACTGAGAAGAGGTAACAGCGTACCATGCGCAGTTTGATGCTGTGACTCAGGTTCCTATCACAGCCTCTCACGTACTTGTGATTTAAATTATTTAATTAAATTACTATAAAGTAATATTCTCATACATGCTCGAAAATGTTTGCAATACTTTTAAAAAACGAACACGGAAAGTTTGTCATTGGATCATACGTAACCTTAAGTATGAAAATCCATTACTGTCCTCTTCTCTATATCTATTAGTAATGAATTATGTATACAGGCAAAAAAAACCTCATACAGTCAACTGTCCAGTGCGCATAATTGCGAGAATGAAAAATACCTATTTGTACCACTTACTTAAAAAAAGAAAAAAGAAAATCGCGGTAATATTTAAAGCGTTTTGGTATTCTTTGTATTTTAGTCGCGGATATGAGTGCTAGTGAGAAGAGCGATAACGAAAATACAGTAATAGATATACTTATATTCAAACCATCGAGTATATCACCAGAAGTAGAGACGAGTCTGCAAAAGTGGCGCGGGCGTGAAGCGACAGTGGCGCTGCAGCTGCGCTTCTAAATTATATATAAAAATTAGTAGTGTAACGCTTCTATAAGCGTTTAATAAGAAGGCGCCCCTACACTATACAGTAGTGCACTATGTTAAATCTAAAAGATAATATAATTTAACATAATTACCTACGTTTTTAATAACACCGGCAAAAAGAGCTTAATATTTCCGTGACATCCTTGACGCATAAAGCTCTGTCTAACCTCCATAAGGGCCATACCTCACTAAGCCAGGCTGCGTTTTACATAATAAAATCATTATGGTCTTAATGCTTTCATAATTGCTTTTGATTGTTATTACTCCACAGATTCAAATTTGCAGTCCATTGGTATGCATACAGTAGTATTGTTGCGGAACAATTTCGCAGGATCACTATTATTAGGGGGAAATACGTTAGTGGCAATTTTGAAAATTCATGCATTTGTTATTTATTATTACTGAACTAAATTGAGATATTTCTTGAAATTGCTTTGTATGACACCAAAAACATAGTACCTGTAGACCACATTTAATGATGCCATGCAGCTGGTGCTACTTCCTTCATCGTTATCACATTTTTATCATAATTTTTTCTGGTTCCTGGCAACTTATTTTTAATTATTACCATCATGTAGTGCCTCTCCACTACTAGAGGCTGGCCGTCAGCTTGGAGAACTCTTCCCTGTCCTGAGCCAAGCGAAACAGATGTTGTGGATAATGATGAATTTGTTATTTAGTTTATACGGAGTCTATGTAACTAACTAACTGTACCTTTTTTAACATCATTCTATTATTTGTTACAGTCTATGTTGTATAACTGCCTCCGTGCCCGAACGGTTATCGTGTTAAACTGCCATGCAGAGGTCCCGCGTTCGATTCCCGGGCCGGGAGAAATATTTGTAGTGCCTACATTTATTTCTCTCGTGAGTTGGGTGTAATTTGTGGTTGTCTACCTATGTGTGTGTTCATGATTTGTCTTGGTTTTTTTTATTTGTTTTGTGTATTATATTGTTGTGTGTGTGTCCGCGATACAGGGTTTTCCTAGTGCGGAGTTATGAGCGTTGTTATTGTTGTTATAATAAGTGCATTACCTATTTACATTTCTTATGTACTTTTTATATTGAAAACAGTGGCCATGGCAGTCTTTTATGTCATACCTATACTCTAGCCAATTCGATATGGAATGTTTAATAACAAAACGTTGCTAACCAATGACGACTGGTAAAAAGAACATTTTTAGTCAATGCTCATTGTTTAGACTGGCTTTGCCCAATACCTGCTCATGTAATTGGAAATGAAATAGGTAAGTAGATAATTGGATACCTAGCCAATTATTGTAAATTTGATAAAGTGTCTATAGATACGTATGATTTAGGAATAAAATAATTAACTTTTTGAATTCTATTACTATTTGCTGCTAGAGAGTAGGTAATGGAAAATGAAAAGAAAAAATTGTAAGATATTACTTTATATTAATTTGTACATGTCTCATCCATCATCAATTTCGCTTTCGAAACTTAAATTGCTAATCTGCAATCTCTCCCTTCGAAAAAAAGGATACCATAGTTTTATAAATAATCACTGGTAATTTTTGTTAGTTAGTAATTTGAAACATCTATTGAACAAAATTCTTTACTCATATTTATTATCAATAGCCTATCGAGTTCTTAGGTTTTCACATAGGAAAAGACAATATTATTTCGTGTTAATCAAGCCAACATTTCGAGCCCTTCACACACATTTCCTGTGATCACAAAGTTGGCTAACGGTCAGTCGCGACCACGGGATCTGTAAAGGGCCCGAAATGTTGGTTTGTTTGAAAAAACGAATATGCGATTTAGATTCGAAAGAATATTTTTACTTCCTATTATAACTATGTTCGTGTAAGCGTGCAGTGGGAAGGATGAAGTTGCCAAAGGTTCGGAACTGGTACAAGACCGACAGAAATGGCGTACTTTGGTGTCGGAGGCCAAGATTCACTTCGGATCGCTGAGCCAGCGATGTACGTACGTATGTAAGTAAGTGTATCATAAGTTTTTGTTGGTGGACACTCGTATTTTACATCAAAGATTTTCGTATTTCTGCCGCCAAGCAATAATGTCAGCATTACTGAGTTCTGGTTTTCGAGGGTAAGGGGTTAGTAAAACTACAGACACACCTTTATGTCTCAAGGTTACGAGTTATTTATCCATTACAAATCTAATAGCTGTCCATGGGTTTCTTCTAAGGAGAGGATTTAGGCTACAGCACGCTATGCTCAACCTTCTTCTATATGTAGTTCTCATCACGACGTTTTCCGTTATCGTTAGCTAGAGATATTATTTAACCGAAATCGAAAACCTCCGTTAATCAAAGCTAACAAAATTTGCTATCCTATTACGACGACAAAAATGGCTTTATCGTCGATACTGGGAAAATTGTCTCTAATCAAGGCAGGATAAGTTTCAAATGTCAACTAAGAAACGTAGCTACGCTACTAAATCCCCGGGAAATGGGCGTGCAGCCGTGTGCAGCAACAAGGTACGCGGCTAATTGTGTCTCGCAGGGTTCACCTGTCGGATTGGTCGGATTTCCTACAAGATAGCCTGCATTTTGGAACGAAATTTGTGCATTCCGAGTTTGCTGACAATTTTCATGCCATGTGTTAATTTTTTTATGATACTATATGACAGACGAAGAAGTCAAGCGCCTAATGGTAGGCGAAATGCGTGTCCATAACGATTGTATTGCTGCTCAGGGGGCCTACTATGAGTTTATAAGCAACCAGCCAAGTTCCATGCAATTCACTTGACGTGGTAAAACTGAATTGCTTAAATTCATATCGTTACCTACACAAAGTTGAACGGGTTACTTTTTAAACGTTAATTATTGTCTCTGGCTGGCTAGCTGGTATTTAACATGAGCAAGATGGAATTATATACTAAATCATCTGAAAGAAATAGACATATGTACTATCCTGGGAGCGTTCAAGCACTATTAACCGATTGTGTTCAAAATGAGAATAATTATACTTTTTTTATTATTGATTATACTTACTACGTCGTTTTGTAATATCGGCAACTTTTTAATCATACTTTACAATTTATCGTACGACAAAATTACGTGTTATGTCTAGTCATTATCATTGAAATTAATAAGGTGAGTTTGTAATTTGATAACATAATTGGAACGTATCTTGTATTAGTACATTTTCATTGATTGCATTATCGTTTAAAATTTGGCACCATTTAAAAGTTATTTTACAATTTTGGGTCAATAAAATTATTAAAATGATTGAAATTCCATTTAAAAATTGCAATAATAGTCATGCCAATATTTTATCAACAATTCTTTAAAGGCTGGGAACTCGAACGAAAATTTTCAAGAAACGCTTAATAGTCTATAGTATTTATTTATTGACAATTGGCTAAGCCTTAAAGATAACAAATAATTATGAAACTGAAAATGTAATGAAACTTGAACGAAATTTCTTAAAAATGTACCAAATAAAAAGAAAATTTAGTCACAGATTTTGTTATGAAAGAAAAGGTGAACGGATTTCGAATGGGGAACGTAAATTGCATGAACAGTGAATTGTTTTTGTGAGATCATAGTACGAATTTAACAGGCAATCCGACTAACACGTTTAAATAGGATTGCTCTAAGAACTCATAGTAGGACCCCAGAGCTTTAAATCGCAAAGATTTGAAGGATACTGCCACTGCGCCCGTCACCCTGAGACATAAGTTGAAAAGTCCCATATGTCTGTAATTTAACCAGCAGTGCAGGGGCACTAATTCCCTGGACGAACTATTTCATGAAGGGTTCTAATGCTACAACATTTCCTTGCTATAATATGGTTGCTTCGATATACGTGATTTTCATGGATCGAAATATATTTTTGGTGCTATGGTATATCCACACGTCTCTATTGGCCTTAATTAACCCTATGATTTATCAGTAATTGGTCAGTCATTGTAACCCTTCCATTTATTGACCCCTTTGAGACACCCTTTTATGAAGGCTATAAGTTATGCCACGCGGACGACACGTGTCTCGTTAGTTAGCCATTGACATATTTCATTTGACATTTTTATGGTAATTATATTATGGTAGTCAATTTGGAAAAATGCGTAGTTGAGAGTTGAGTTTGTCTCGCAATCAAAAGCTTACGAGATTTTTATGACAGTCTTAAGTGTATTCAAATCAGTTTAAAGTTTTAATTGCATAATAATGGGCTTAATAAGGATCTGAAACATAGTAATGAGATACGCAAAGCTCTATAAGCTTACGTTTAAACTTGCATTCGACTATTGCGGTGAACTTTAGACTTAAGCTGTACGAAATTTGGGTTTGCTAGTATTAGATTAATAGTATAAAGAGGTAAAGATTTCAATGAATATTTGACGCATTGCTTTAAACTTTTAGTTGTAGCAAGTGGATGTTAGTTCATCTATAAATGAAAAAATCCATAGCGGTAATAGCTTTTATAAATTAAAGAGTAGAACAGAAACCTTTATAAGGAGTTATACATCTACACTTAACATGATTTGCACTTAAAAGCGATATAATTTAACAGATATTGAATATGTCGGTAATAGATACAAAATGTCAGATAACACAAGCTGTCTGAATTAACAATTGGACATCATGCGGAATTACCACAATAATGAATTTACAATTAGAGTGAGTGCTTACATTTTATTCATAAATTTATAATCAGCTATTCTTCTTGATGTCTATTTTCTTTTTATTTATGGTACTACTTATCCAGTCAAAAAACGGGCTTACTGGCGTGAAAACATCACTCATAATTGGACTATAGCCGCTATTCACACCGATAATTCTTTTATCTAAAGTTAGAGGCCCTCCAGAGTCAGCCTGTGAAGTTCTAAGTTTTCGTCTCCCGCATTTTGGCGCAACACACATTGCTGGTTGAAATATTACATATCTCTCTCGTTCGCATTTTATAATACCACCTTGCGCAACACGTAACTCGTCTGGAGTCCTATATTCTTTTTCTTCTCTCGTCTCGTCCTGCCTTTTAGTCTGGTCATGATATTGATCTTTGAGTTCATCTTCTTTGTCTGAATTGTTTTCGTTTTTCAGCTTAAGCCCTCCATATCCAGCATATTTGACTATTTCACCTATAATAGTGCTATAATCGCGTGCCGATATTCTGGCATATTTTTTTAAATTCATTGTTTCAACTTTGATTAGTGCGATGTTGTTATTTAGAATTGCATAGTATCCTCCGAAAGAATAGTCCATACGATATCCAGGGTGTAGTTTTTTTGAGATTACTTTAGAAACATTTTTATTCCCTTTTTGTCCATATTTGACGTGCGATAGTTTCTTAGAAATGCAATGACCAGCTGTTAGAATCCATTGTTTCGTGATTGCGCTCCCTGTGCAAATTCTGGCGATGTGGATTACGAAGTTTTCTCCTTTCCTCCATTCTTGTAAATCGACTACGTATGAAAATTCACCTTCGGTGTCTGTTGGATTCTTCTCTTGAGATTCTCTTTCTTCGGAGTTCTGTCGACGTCTTACAATGCCGTAAGCATTTACTGTTGTCACTAAAAGTAACAGTATATTAAATGAATTTAGTCGCATAACCGTTGGTATATATTTCTTCTAATGTTAGTGTTTTATTTAAATTTGTAATAACGTGTATTGTACCTTCCGTTTATGTACAATGGGAGGATTTCCTGCCATCTCATTTATTGTTGTATTTTACGACTATTTTATTACCAAAACTTATAAATAGATTTAATAATGTCGTTGAGGTTTATAGGAGGTAACCTTGGAGTTTCGTTGAATATACATAGATTTTCTTTCTCTTCTTTTGTCTTAAGTATAAGTCCAGCTAGAGCGTTTACGTTAAAAAGGCGAACAACAGTCTAGAACAGTGACGGTAATATTTATAAAACTAATACTGCTAGTATTCAAAATGGCCAAGCACGGGTTACGGTGTCCATAATGGACATATTTCTCTCTTAAAATGGACATATATACCGTATGTGGTGCCTTTTATTTAATAAGGGAGCGTAGTTTTGTACCAAAATATAATTCAAATTTGAAGTATGTCAAATATTGCATATAATTCTCGTAACGTATTAAACAAAATCTTACGGCACTTCTTGTTGAACACAATAACTCATTAATATAATAGTTTAACGTACAGTGTCAAGAACACATCAAGCTTTAGATAATTTATAGATTCAGGCGTCACTTTACGAAAATCCATGTTTTAGAAATTAAAGTAAATTGCTAAACTATGCCGTGAAAGCAGCCAATTTTACCACCCCTCTCTCGCATAAAATTAGGGTAAAACCGGAGTCGATGGCCATAGTTTTTTCTAAACGTTGTCAAAATAAAATTTTAGATATTATGTTGCAGATTTGCAACGTAAAATCTGAAATTTTAATGTGCAAATATCTAAAATTTTATTTGTTAAACTTTGAAATTAACTATTAATTATTTAACAGAAAAGAGAACAAATTGTCTTGAGCCCAACATTAAAATTAGTTTAAAAAATTACGATAGGCCATCTCTCCGACGTGGCCGGGTGTGATGACCGCAGGACTATAGGAAAGATGGCTAGTAATTATTTCTAGACTTAGATAGGTTTTTTATTTGGAGTTTTGTTTTTTCAGTCTTCTTTTTTTTGTTCATGTTTTCAAATTTTCAGTTTTCGTGAACCCAAAAGTGGTACACGACGCATTGGAGCCAGTTTTCGATGAGGCGGGTTTCATAGCAGCAGCAGATAGTTCTTTGGTTTTCACGATTGTTACACTTATGAAATGAAACTATTTTTCCGGATTTATAGTGCGTATATTTGGTTTTCAAAGAAACCAACTTTCAAATTCAAATTCAAATTCAAATTCAAATTCAAAATAATCTTTATTTCATAGGTAAGCATTATTACACTTGAAATCGTCACAATGGTTAAACTCTACCGCTCATTCGTAAGGCAGATTCCCCTGAGAAGAATGAGCAAGAAACTCTAGGGGTTGCTCTTTGTAAATAACATTTACAATATTTTTTTATTTGAAACATCAGATTGAGACTACCTCCATGAGCTAAACGGGTTACTACCACGGATTTTTGTCATCCAAGTACGCAGAAGTTGTATAATAACCTTTAGTATAAAGTTTTTGTTTCACTATAGTTTTAAACCTCGTGAAAGGCAAATTTTGTATATCAACCGGAATCTTGTTATAGAAGCGTATACATTGCCCCTTAAATGATTGTTTGACTTTGTGAAGACGACTATCAAGAAAAGCTAGTTTATTTTTATTCCTCGTATTAATGTTATGTCTGTCACTATTTTTCATAAAGAAATTACTATTCCTTTTAACATAAATTATATTTTCATAAATGTATTGTGAGGCTAGTGTAAGAATGTTAATTTCCTTAAACTTATCTCTCAAAGATACTTTGGGGCCCAGATTGTAAATTGCCCTAACTGCACATTTCTGCAGGACAAAGATTCTATTGATATCGGCGGCATTACCCCAAAGCAAAATGCCGTATGTCATTAGACTGTGAAAGTAGCTGAAGTAAACCAATCTAGCGGTTTCGACGTCTGAAAGTTTCCTTATTTTTTTAATCGCGTACACTGCAGAGCTGAGCCGTTTTGACAACTTACTTATATGGGGACCCCATTGCAATTTAGCATCTAACGTTATACCTAGAAATACAACTGTATCCACAAGATTCAATTTTTCGTTTCTAACTACAATGTTTGTAACCGTCTCTCTAACATTGGGTAATGTAAATTTCACACAATTTGTTTTTTTCTCATTAAGAAGTAGGTTATTAACAGCAAACCAATCAACTACTTTAGATATAGCATTGTTCACATCGTCATAGGAACATTGGTGCCTTTTAACTTTAAATAATAAGGAAGTATCATCAGCAAACAATACTATCTCATGTTTTATACCCTCCATAAGGCTAGGTAAGTCATTAATATAAACTAAAAACAAAAATGGGCCTAGAATTGAACCTTGAGGGACACCCATGCTAATTACAGACCCTGACGATCTCGTACCGTTAACATCGACCCTCTGTACCCTACCACGCAAATACGATTTAAGAAGGTCGAGATCACGTCCCGCCACACCATAATGGCGAAGTTTCCTGACCAGTGTATCATGGTGCACACAATCAAAAGCCTTGGAAAGGTCACAGAATACACCAATAGCATCATGTGAGACTTCCCATGCATCAAATATATGATTAATCAACTCTACACCAGCGTCGGTTGTAGAGCGACCCCGAGTGAAACCAAATTGTTTAGGAGACATTAAATTATTACTATAAAAATGTGCACACATCTGATTTAGAATAATTTTTTCAAATATTTTACTGAGAGTTGGTAGTATTGATATAGGTCTGAAATTGGTGGAGTCAGAAATACTACCAGATTTGAAAAGTGGAATAACTTTACTTTGCTTCATGAGGTCAGGAAAGACACCATCATCAACACATTTATTAAAGACACAGGCTAAGTAAGGCGCAATACAATCAACTATAGAACTAATTACTCTGACTGAAAGACCATCAAGATCAGCAGTATTTTTTATATTTATAGACTTAAAGGCTTTAACAATATCGTTTGGAAATACATGACGGAACCTTAAATTAGTGACACTAACTGCATTATTTTCTTTTAGTAAGGATTCAGCGGCCGTGGGAGATGAATTTAACGAATTAGTAGTCAAAACTGGAATGTCGGTAAAAAAATTTTCAAATATTTTAGCAACTTCTGCGTCTGTGTTTACAATTTTGTCATTAAATCTTAGTTGAAAATCTAAGTTACGAGGTTTGACCCTTCCAGTTTCGCTATTTATAATATTCCAAGTCGTTTTTACTACATTCGCGCTGCTTTTTATTTTATTATTAATAAACATTGCTTTGGCTGCCACACAAACACGTTTAAACATTTTCGAATATTTCCTAACAAAATCATTAAAACTGTTACTAGTGTTATAAGTTCTTTCATCGTAAAGATCATATAGCTTTTGTCTACTTTTGTGAATTCCCACAGTCGCCCATTCACTAAATTTCAATGAATTATTAATAGTTATGATTTTGGATTTAAAAACATTATCACGTTCACTTTTCACTATGTTGAAAACTGAATTATACAATTTATTGGGATCGTTAACGTACGGAATGTCAGTTAGTTTAAGTTTCGGGCCCTTTACAAGTACTGGGACGTTTCCTAAGCATTAATAGGTGCTTTTAATGCTTCTTCAATGCAATTTCCTCTCATTGCGGCTACCTTTCTTTTGTATTAAGTAGGCGCCTAAAAAAAGGAAATGAAACTATTTTTCCGAATTTAAATCGCGTATATTTATTTTTTCAAACAAACCAACGTTTTTGATGGGCTATCTGTCCCAATATTCCGGGAGAGGTGGCCACACATAAAATTTAAACAAGAAAAAACATGAAATTTTGACCTTTATAACAAAGCATTGGATGTGGACTAAGCGATAAATAAAAAAATAATCCATATTTTGAAAAAATAATTTCATTGTAGTGTAAAATATGATATATAGATCCTGAGGCTCACGATAATCATACAATCTGTTATATTTTTACTTCACTCGCTGTTTGTGCTTAACACGCGCAAAACTTTTGCAAAAATCTTAAACGAAGGTGATTTGGTAATAAAAATTGTA